TCAAGAGTTCAAGCGTCTTCAATGGCAAGCCCGCCGGACCATATCAGCCGTTGAACATAATCTCACTTTGTGGTTTAGCCATCTTCAGTGCCAAACCCAACGGACCATATCCAACGGACCATATCAGCCGTTGGGGTTCATCAAGTCGCAAAACCAGCTTGCAGGTAGCACGCAACTTGAGCGCGTCCTTCGGTTTCTTCTCTGCCTGTATCTTCCAGAAAGCACGTCTGCTCCATACATGGTGAAGTTTCTGATGGATAAAGCGCTTCAGTGTTGGGTAGAGGAGCTGTGAAGGCAAGAGCTGCAGGCAGAGACAGAAGTGCAGGATTCGCGAAAATCGTGTGCTACATGCTAGCTGGCTAGATGAACATCAACGGCTGATATGGTCTGTTGGGCTTGGCACTGAAGATGGCCAAACCACATGCGAGGGCAGCGCGGTCTAGGGTTTTCCGCTCTAGATGCGAGGGGGAGTGAGCACAACGGACCTCGTTTGCTGCACGCTGGATACATCGACCCACGGAGTTTTTGCGAGCGTAGTGAGGTCTAAGGTGGATGTAAGGAGGTGTAGTGGCTGGAGCAGATTCGAAGGGGTGAATGAATGTCATGTTTGGAGCAAATGTTTTTCTGGAAGCTACTGGCAAAGTAGAAACCAAAGGGCTTGCAAAAGTCGTGTGGTACATGCGAGCTGGTTTTGCCACCGCTAGATGAACCTCAACGGCTGATATGGTTCGTTAGGCTTGGCACGGGTGAGGGGGGTGACCCAAATCCAACAAGGCCCAAGGATAAGATCCATCAAAAGTTCAAGCATGACGCGCTTCTCTGGGTCTCGGCTGAATTTCTGCCAAGCCTGCCAAAGTTCAGGTCTCAAAAATGACCTGAACTGAAACTTTCCTTTGAGGTCCACTTCAGCAGCCGCCATGGCCTTTCAACATCTGGCTCAGTCTGAGACCTCATTCTTCCAGGAGTTGTCGATCCAGCTCACACCGCTCGGTGCTTCCATCGCCTGCGGCAAGTCCTTGGCCAGCCCATTCCACAGCCTCACCATGTCATTGCCAGCCTCCTGAAGGATTGACATCTTCTTGAGGGCCCTGTGGGGGTTTCTCATTCCACCGATTTAGAAGGAGTTCTCCTCTTCTCTCCTCACCTTCTTTGAGGTCGTTGATCCTTGCGGCATCTGGTCCCTCTGCAAGTCCCCAACATTCCAGGCCCTCTAGCACCCCCGAAGCTCCACCATGTTCTTGTTGTCCACCGGTTTCCCAATGAGGGTGCGCTCTTTGGACGCTCCGCCCAGTCCCGCTTCGCCTGGTTCAGCTGGTCCTGAGATTGAAGCTGCTTGTGCCTCCACCACTCTAGAGTCAGCACCATTCTACAAGCCTTGATCAGCATTCTCGCAAACTCCAGCGCAAGGTCCTGTGGGTACCTCGCTGCGCGGCCGGCCTTCTCCTTTCTGATGAGCATTTTGTGCTTGAAGTACTTTGGGCACTGACATTTTCGCTTGGGAGAAACTAGCCCTGTCAACCTGCCAGCAAATTTTGCCAGCTTGAACCATCTCGTGCGCTCCTTCAGCTGGAACGCACATGTGTTGAAGATGGCCTCCTCGCACTCGAAGTCCTTCACGAACTTGTCCGCTTCAGGGAGGCACCAAGCCGGTCCTTCAAGTCTGTCTTCACTACCTGGCGGGTTCTCCAATGTCCCGCACTCAGGCACCTTCCTAAGTCTTTGACATTGTATCACTTCAGCTCTTATCTGGGTGCTCCTTATTGCCAGCAGTGAGCCCTTGTCCGCCTGGCTCTATTGATCCACAAGCCCCCGTGCCGCTTGCAAAGGAAAAGCGCAATGGAGTGCCCGCTTGATCCTTCGTCTTTCCCTTACCCTTTCCTTCGGTCACCTGCGTCTTGTCCTCCGTAGCCCAGGGGCGCTTTCGAAGTCGATCCAACTCCTCCCTGTCGGCACGCAATATTTTCACTCTTGCCAATCTCTTGTCTTGATTTGCTTGTCGACTGCGCCCCCCTTCCACGGATGACGGACTTGTTCCGACCAATATTCATCATCAGCAGCAAGAAAACGAAAACATGTTGTCCATGAGTTTTCCGGGTCCCAGGCGTGCGGCACGATCTGGTTCTTCGACACGTCCACCATGAGCCTTCTCCTGATTTTGTCAAGGCGTTCAGCGCGACCTTTGTCTTCAGCCTGGTATATCAAACCGCAACATTTGGCCAGTGCAATACCAAACGTTCAATGGCTTTCTCATAGATCTGCAATGAGGCCAAACTGGCGATACTGAGCATCAGGCAGGCAGCCTTGTAAACCCGCCACGACGTGAGCCACTGTTGAAAATTCTGAGAACCTGGCAGCTCCCTCATCATGTGTGACCCGTCCCCCAAGGGATGATAAACACAAAACTTCTGAGCCTTCGAGCACTTGCGACCAAAGGGAGTGAAGATAGCTAGATCTGCATAAGGTGGTTTTTTGAATACGAACGTCTTCCTGTGGAGGGCGGCCAGCTGAGCCTCAGATGGTTCTTCCTCTTCGGCTGGAGGACGCACATTATCGCGACGTATGCACTCATCCATTGATCCACCTGATCTCGGGTGGCTGGGGCTAACTCAGACTCGTCGGCTTGGTCAATCAAACTCGACATCTCCGGCACTCTGTCTTTCAACGTTGCCCCGCCCCCTGCTCCTTCAGCTTGTCCACAGGGTGTCCCTGGAATCTGTGCTAGGTTCGTAGAACTCATCCCCTGGCAAACTTGGACTCATGTGAACTAACTTCCTAGATGTCCGCCAAAAACAGTCCCACATGAGCAGCTTGGACTGCGGAGAATCCGGCCCCCGTGGCCGTGGAGGCCTGAATTGCTCCTTGGGCGATCACGGACTTCGGCAAGGCGGCGATCAACCTGATGTCATGGCCCGGGTCTCCAACCTGCTGCACGAAGGCCGTCCACAAACCGTCCGGCACCTCCAGGAAGTCCAGCAACTCACGCACGGTGGAGACACCAGCCAACTCCAATTCTGCAGGCAAAGCGCTCGCGGCCATCCACTTCGACAGTCACGGGCAAAACAAATCCCTCTTAAACTATTGGGAGGTGTCTTACCCATCTTGTAGCCAAAATGGCCGGTAATCCAACCTCCCAAGGCCCTCGTTTCTTTATCTCTCACAAACAGGTTTCTTCCACACAAATTCATCGAATACCAAAACCAGCTTGCATGTAGCACACGACTTTAGCGAGCCCTTTGGTTCCTTCTCTGCCTGTAGCACGTCTGCTCCATACGTCCATACATGACATTAATCCACCCCCGTAACACCTCCCCAAATCCAACAAAACCAAAGACAACAGACCCAAGACCAAAGGACAATAGACCATATCAGCCGTTTGGGTTCATCTAACCAGCTAGCATGTAGCACTCACGTCTGCTCCAGACATGACATTACTCCACCCCTCGTCACTTCCCCCCAAATCGAACAAAATCCAAGGACAACAGACCATATCAGCAGTTTGGTTTCATAGCATGTAGCACACAACTTTAGTGAGTCCCGCGCTTCCCCTCACAGATCCTCTACCCAACGCTGAAGCGCTCTATCCAGCAGAAGCTTCACCCAAAACCAACAAGACCCAAGGATAAGATCCATCAAAAGCTCAAGCATCTTCAATGCGAAGCCCACCGGACCATATCCGCCGTTGACGTTTAGCATGGGTTCATCTAGTTGCAAACCCCTTTGAGGGGGAGGCGGAGCAGCCCACAGTTTGTGGACCAGGGGGAATCGAAGCCCTACCGGCACCAAATTACCACTGTTACATGACCTGGAAAGGACCGTCCATGCCCACTCAGAATTTCCACATGTTTAGCGGCAATAGGCAACTAAGCCTTGCCTGTCGAAATATAGCTTAGTCCTCAAACACTCCACACTGAGGGGTTCTTATGGTAAGTGTAAAGGCCGGTGCTTGATCAGGGTGCTCCAACTGGTCTGCGGCATTTTACCTGCAATTTCTCGCACAGAATGGCTCATGTGCAATGTTGCATTTCGACTGCGCAGGCTCGCACAAAGTGGGTCGCGATCGTGGGCCCCGGCATTTTTCCTGGGAGCTCTTGTGCGATGTTGAAGTGCATTTCGACTGCGCAAGCTTGCGCAAAGTGTGGGTCGCGATCGTGGGCCCCGGCATTTTTCCTGGGAATTCTCGCCCGCAATGGCTTTTGTGAAATGTCTAAGTGCATTTCGATTGCGCAGGCTCGCGCAAAGTACGCGTCGCATGAAATGGCTTTTGTGAAACATTCAAGTGCATTTCGACTGCGCGGGCACGCGCAAAGTGTGGTCGGCGGTCTTGGTCTGCGGCATTTTACCTGTAAATTCTCGCACATAGTGGTTCTTCTGAAATGTCCACGCGCATTTCGACCGCGCGGGCTCGCACAAAGTGTGGGTCCCGGTCTTGGGATCGGCCCTCCTCCTCAACATCATCATTCTTAACATCATCATCCTCCTCCCCCTTGACCTCATCATCCTCAACATCATCAACCTCCACCTCATCTTCCGCAGCATCAGCATTATCATCCTTTTCATCCTTCTCCTCAACAATTTCATCCTCAACATCATCCTCCTCCTCCTTCTAAACATCATCATCCTCGACCTTATCATCCTCCACTTCATCTTCCGCATTATTCTCATGCTCCTCAACATCATCATCCTCAACATCATCATCGTCAACTTCATCATCCTGAACATCATCCTCCTGCACCTCATCATCCTCAACATCATCATCCTCAACATCATCGTCCGCAACATTATCATCCTCATCATCATCACAAACAAACACTTGCGGGAACATGCGCAGGGAGGATTGATCATACGCAATAATAAGCACAACAAAAGAAATCAAGCAATGCTGATGCCAATGCAAGGTGAGACCGAAAGCGTCGGAGCGTCAAAGGTATCTTGGAAAGCCCAAGGGCAGAAAAGACAGCAACACCTGTGTTTGCGCTTTTACTCAAACATGTCTGCCCCTCCTCTGGAATGAGGTGCTTGTCCGGCGGAGCCTAAAGTTCCAGGGCGAAACGAAGAGCATTGCAGCGAGAATTCCAGGAATAGATTTTGCTTGTCTTTGAGCCCAGGAACTGGGACCGCGACCCATGGCTCGAGGACTTCTGAGAGGAGGGCCTTCCGTTTTTTAAAAATATCCAGCGCTCTGTGTGAACTACACATTCGCTGTTCCTGTTGCTTTCAAGATGCACATGCCTATACATACTCCGTTCACGCATGAGAAACTAGCAACATGAGAATATCTTCCTTTATTTTCTCGGCTCAACGCCGTCGGCCGTCATGGATATATATAAATATATATATATGTACATATATATATGTATATATATATGTACATATATATATATATGTATATATATATGTATATATATATGTATATATACATATATGTATATATATATGTATATATCTATATATGTATATATATATGTATATATCTATATATGTATATATGTGTATATATCTATATGTATATGTGTATATATATATAGAGACGGGGTGTTGGTGGGGATGTATTTTGTTGAGAAAATATAGAAAAATACTGTGTTTTACAGTGTTTTATGCACTTCATGAGGCTGGGGACGTGGTAAAACAACGTTTTTTTTTGTATTTATTGTATTTAATTTCAGACATGAGGTTTGTGCACTAGTTCGACAATACCACTGCTCACACGTGTTTGCATTTCTTTTTCGTTCCACGCAAAGCCAGTCTAAGTCAGCAATGCACACACTGCAGTTGGAACCAGCTTGAAGCAATAACATTTGTTATAGACTTGGTTCTTGACTGCATAGCTGGCTTTATCATATAAACATTAAACTACATTAGTTTGCAAGTGTGTGATCAAAGCCTGTCAGGAGTGCCGGGTGCAGGACCCAACAATTCTGGCGGCATCATTGGCATCATCAGACCAGTCTCACCAGGCGGGGTTGGGGGAGGCGGCCCCGGTGGTGTTCTTGGTGAGGGGCGCGGAGGGGGAGAGCGACTTCTTTCAGGACGTCGTTCCCACCACACTCTGGATGATCAGGAGGAGGAAGGATCCAATCCGACCTGCACATGAAGAGACTGCGTTCATTTTGTTGAGACATGCAACAGACAGACAAGAGTCAAGCCAAAGCAATGAGTGTGAAATGTGAACATGTGATTAAGTTCTCCAAGGCACTCCCAAAAGTCATCCTCAAAAACAAAATCCTGGCAGCTTGACTCATCGTCACATTCCACGACCTTTTTCGGCTTGGCCGCCGCCATTGGTTGCGCGAGCTTCGGCGCCATGGCTGCAGGCGTGGGGGATAAGTACCGGGAGTATATGGGCACCTGAAACGGCTCTTCTAATACCATGTCACCACCGCATGGCAGACCTGACAGTAAGCAGAAGCATGCAGACTACAGACTGAAGACTGTGTGACCAAAGAACCTAAAAGATTTTGCATGAAGGGTTGCAGACAAGTGTGTAACTCTTAAAATTTATCAATGTTTGAAGCTGTTTGAAGGGTGGCATGTGATGACATGCATTTGTGTCAGTCGAAGCAGCAGTGTGTTCTTTCACAAGTGATCGGCGGGTCGCGATGTGTGATCAAAATTTAGTGAAGCTTTCATCGCATTCTTAGTTGAGAACATCACTTCATGGCTTTCATGGACTTCATCACCTTTCTTGCCTTCGAGTTCTTCTTCTTGATGCACGAATACGGTTTGCTATTGATCTTCCGTTTCATCTTATTTTCTGTTGAGTATTTGTTGAGGTGATCTTGGTTGTTTGTGGCCATCATCTCATTATGCATTTTGCAAAAGAGAAGGACCGCGAATCGATGACGGACAGCCCTCATCTCATTCAGCACAGTCGAATATGAGCGGAACCATGAGAAGGTTTGTTCTGCAACTGATGTATTGAAATGCCCAAAACGATTCTGCAAGCGGCGTTTGGAAGGGTGACAGGGGCATGTCTTTCGGTGTTGCAAAGCATGAAACCGATCCACGGAGTAGTACTTCAGCTGCTGCAAGCCTTTCATCTGCTTAGCCCCAGGCATGAAGGCGCAAACGCGATCCAAAATGAAGAGATCCACTTTCTTGTATGTAGGTAGGATCTTGCACAAAGCCTCTGCAGCCACCTCGTTCCCTTCTGGCTTCATTTGGGTGAGGGCAGCTAAGATCCGACCAGTCTTTGGGTCAATAAGCATGAACCAGCCGTGGCCGTGGTGACGCTTGGAAGGCTTCTTTGTGCGAGGTCTACCAGCCCGCTTGGAGACTACCTGCCCACGACATTTCACCATGACTTTCTGATGGCCATCGCCCACTAAGGCGGTGACTTTGGATGGCACGGGTGGAGGGAAATGATGTTCATGGCAGTATTGGTCGAAGAGTTGCAGAGTTTGATCAGTCAACTCATTTCCAAGTTCAACTTGTAGATGTCGACCAAGTGGCTCCATTTCCATGCTGACAAGGTAGTAGAACAAAACATCATAATGAAGTTTTCTAAAGTTTCCTGTCCAACCCATGCTTGGCTGTCCTTGAGTTTGATCGAAGAATGTCTTCTCAAAAGCCCACTCCACACCGCGAGCACTTGTAGCACAACGAAAGAAGAGGTTCGCATGGTACTTGAGATAGCGGATAGTGAAGCCGATTTTGACATTGATGAAGAGGACGTCTGCACGACCCAAAGTCGAAACCTTCACATTGTTGGTTAGAGCGCCACCCGTGTTCTTGAAATTGGGCCCAATGATAGTCCTGCAGCTCTGACACTTCTTGGTACGGACAGTCACGCTCTTCTTGCCGATCAGGTCGTATACAGTGGCGCTGACTTCGTGATGATGGTGGGAAAGCCGCCAACCAGCATCACAAGAGCACAAGGTCAAAGAAGAGCAGTAGCACGCCATAGTACCCGAGCAATATACGGCTACAGGCGATACAGAAGCTTCCTTTGTGAATGAGACATGTATGCTGGAGAGAACAAGAAAGCAAGACTAACAGCTGTACACTTGACATGTTGACTGCACTGTTAATGACTTTAAAGTAGTAGCACATAGGGTTCTGTGGTGTCATGCAGGCAGTTGGCAGTTGGGGCATTTTTTTTGCAACTCCTAGCCAGCTGAACTCCGAAGGCACAATCATCAAAACTCTTCTAGCAAGCTGCAGGCTACCTGGCGCTCAGACCAAGAAAGCCAATGTAGTCAAATCAAGGAGTCCCTTCTTCAGGAGCCATGCCCACCTTGGGGAAGTTATCCAATTCATCCAAGGCAAGTTCCATCTCATGCTCCAAGGCCTGCTCCAAGGTGTCTTCCTCATCTGGCAGGCCCAGCATGGAATTGCTGGGATTTCCTGTTGAAGGCATTGAAGGCAGTGGCGTTGACTTTCGTTTCGTCGGAGATGGCGAGGGGGTGTCCAGTTCAATGACGTGACGGGTGGCAGGACGTAAAGACTTGAAAACGACCTTCTCTGTCTTGCCCCTCCTTGGCAAGATCCCAATTCGTCCAACCCATGCTGGCACGATCTGTGTCCACACCTACGGGATCTCGACGGGTTTCGCGAGCCAGGGAGGCATGTCCGTCATGATACCTGGTGGGAAAACGTTTGTGTACATGCTGAAACTCATGATGATGTGGGGGAAGCACAAAGGCCAAGATACTCTTCCTGCTCCATCTTCACGAATGGAATGCTGTGCATTTTGGCCTCCCTGATTTTCCTCTCTTCTTCTGCAACTTGTTGCCCATGGAGATGATCAGCTTTGCGAATAGCTTCCTGAAGCCATGCCTGAGCAAGAGGACAAGCAGACAGAGCATGATGCAAGTACAAGCAGACACATGACGTTTCTAATCATGTTTGTATACAGGCACGACATGAACGAAGAACCCATTGGACATATGCATGATATTCTAGCTTTCTCTTCAGACACAGCACATGTTGCAGAACGCAGACATAGTTGCAGATGAGCAGCTGCTTCCTGAGCACAATGTTCATCGTAATCTTCAGGAGCTGGACCACCTTGCTTGAAGTTCTTGAGTTTGGGCTTCTATGTATCCAAGAGGATGTCCACCTTCTGCCATCGAATGCGGTAGGCCTTGGTTTCACGTTCGGGTGGAAGACGATAAGTGATATGCTTCTTGCCGAAGATGATGAAAGCACTGCGCTTCAGGATTGCCATGGCGTCTGTTCGGGACATGCTGCCAAGTGCGGGCCTGATCATGAGGAAGAAATCTTCATGGGAAACCATGAGGTCAGATTCCAAGTTGTTGTCCTCTGGTTCAGCATCAGGGTTATAGGAGTTGTCCAAGACTTCACGACGGACAAATTTTGCGCTGGTCCAACGTGCACGTGTCATTGATTCATCATCTCCCACGTCTGTGAAAGCCTTGATCTTCTTCACCTCCTCTCCACTGATATTGCCGTCGTCAAAGAGAGCTGGAACTGTCTTTGTGAAGGGGATGCCCTTGAAGAAGTCCAGGTCAGCGGTGGTGCGAAAAGTTCCTTGGCCTCCGTGGTACCGGGAAAACATCATTGCAATAACCCGCCCCAATGGCGTCTTACCTCTCCCTGCTTCACCTAAGAGCCATAAGGCATGATCTCGCAGACAAGGGACCACCCTCTTCAAAATGTCTCTGACCTCAGGCTCAAAGTCCGCAATGGTGAGGTCGTACCTTTGACACAATTTGGCACATGTTGAGTCATTCGCCAAGGAGTCAAGAGCCTTCTGAACAAGACGTTCCTGCCAGCCATGGATCGGGCACCCTTCCAAGTTGATGTGATGATGAATCCACTTCAGCTGTTTGAGATCGCTTTTGTCCAGCTCTCCATGTTCTTGAGTGAACTGCCACCCATCATTTTCAGGCACAGTGGCGCTGGATGTGGGTTTCTTTTTTTCAGGAGTGAGGGTGTGCTTTCTGAATTGCAAGCCTCCCAGTTGTTCAAGCATCCGCTGGAAAGCCTTCCTGACAAGCTTCTTGTTCTGATTGCCCCACGCAATTTCCTTGCCTTTTCCACGAAGAAGAGATTGAACATAAGACCCCAGCACCTTGTCATCCATGATGTAGACATGCTTCAGCAAGATCAAGTGGTCATCATCTTGCGGCAGCAGGAAGTACTGGCTGACAGCCTGGAAGGTGGGGCGAATCTTGAGCTTCATGACTTCTGGTAATTCTTCCCAAGCCTGGTCTCTGAAGATCGCTTGAAGACTTGGAACATTGATAGTGCTCTTCGGAATGTCCAGGAAGAGGTCGAGGAAGTGCTTGATATTCGGGCAGCCAGCTAACATTCAGGTCGTTGAGGGGCAGATCAGTTGCCAACAAAGCTCCTGGAGGCATTGGCCCAACGCAGACATGTGCAGGAAGATCCCTGAGGAAAAGACCCTGAGTGGCTGACACGGCATTGTCCAAGTGGATGTTGTCAGCAGGCACGGACACCATTGTAAAAGTCTCGTAGTCGCTTTTTTTTTGGGTTGAGCATTATTGCTACATGCCAGCGTACACAAAGATGAGACCATGACATGTGACAATGAAAGCATCCAATGCGGCAGAAATTGAAAGAAATCCCAAAAATCCAAAAAATCCAAAACTATACACCTCATGTCTGGACTCTTGTGACATGGTGTCCCATGGGGTCTATAGTTTTGGATTTTTGGATTTTTTGTTTTTTTGTTTGTTTGTTTTGTTTTTCTTTGGTTTTCTCAGGGTGTTTTTGATTTTCTCTATGGAGCCCTCTCCCAAAGAGTCGCAAAATATGTTTTTTTTTGCCGTTTTTTGTATTTTCCATCTTTTTTTTTGTGGATTTCTCTAAATTTACTGACTTGCATATTGAAAAAACGTGCGTTTTACCTAGATTTTGAAGCTATGTGGTGCAAAATATACTGTAAATTACAGTGTTTTCTATACTTTATACTTGGAAAACAGCATCCCTGTGAGCACCCGTTCTGTATATATATATTTGACACACACACACATATATATATATATATGCATATATATATATATGCATATATATATATATGCATATATATATATATGCATATATATATATATACATATATATATATATACATATATATATATATACATATATATATATATACATATATATATATTCTATGTCATCTGGCTTTGGCAAAAACTGTCCCAAAACAAAGTTAGCACAGAAAGCCCTGTTACAAGTTGCTGCATGCAATTAGCATTTGCAGCTTCGTTGCGCAAAGCCTCTTCGCCCGCCAAGAGCATCTTGTCTGCCCGAAGGAGTTCCTCCCGCAAACGCTGTAGTCCCTGGCTATTTCCATTGAAGCAAACTGCATGCACACTGCATGGTGTCCATGGTGTTGCATGTTTCCATGTTTTTCCAACATTTTCATTCATTTTCCATGCTCTTCCTCTGAAAACACTCTCAGGTGATCAGGAACGGCAGAAGTAGACAGTCTGCAGACTGTGCTCCAGCCTCTGAGCTGAGACCAGCTCCAAAGTTTCTTTCAGCATCGAACGGATCCTAGATTCAATTTTTGAACGGTTTCCACTGTCATTCCCCACATCTTTGTGTGGGGTTCTTGATTTTGGTTCTGCACTCCCGCCTGCCTCCTCCCCGTCCTCCCGCCCGCTGCCTCCTCCCGCCTACTCTCACACAACTTACTCACACACAACTTAATGCCTCACACACAACTTACTCACACACAACTTCTCCACACACAACTTACTCACACACAACTTCTCCACACACAACTTACTCACACACAACTTGTCCACACACAACTTGTCCACACACAACTTACTCTCACACAACTTGCTCACACACAACTTACTCTCACACAACTTGCTCACACACAACTTACTCTCACACAACTTACCCACCCACAACTTACTCACCACACAACTTACTCACACACAACTTGCTCACATACAACTTGCTCACTCACACAACTTACTCTCACACAACTTGTCCACACACAACTTGCTCACACACAACTTGCTCACATACAACTTGCTCACTCACACAACTTACTCTCACACAACTTGTCCACACACACAACTTGCTCACACACAACTTGCTCACACACAACTTGTACACACACACACAACTTGTGGTGACATCGGCCTTCACAACTTGCTCATGCACAACTTACTCTCACACAACTTGCTCACTCACACAACTTACTCACACACAACTTGCTCATGTACAACAACTTGCTCACTCAAACAACTTATTCTCACACAACTTACTCTCACACAACTTGTCCACACACAACTTGCTCACACACACACACACAACTTGCTCTCACACAACTTACTCTCACACAACTTGTCCACACACAACTTGCTCACACACACACACACAACTTGCTCACACACAACTCTGGTGGTGTGCTTGGGACTGGCGGGCGCTGCGGCTGTTTGCGTGGCAGGCGTGGCCCTTGGCGACAGCGATCTTCACTTTGCGCGGGAGGCGTGGCACTTACGGCACTGGGGTGGCTCTGGTGGCGCGCTTGGGTCTGGCGGGCGCCGTGGCTGTTTGCGTGGCAGGCGTGGCGCTTGGTGACGGCGACCTTCACTTTGCGCAGGCGTGGCACTTGGTGACATCGACCTGGCCGGCGTGGCGCTTACGGCGCTGGGCTGGCTCTGGAGGCGTGCTTGGCCAGAGCCAGCCCAGCGCCGTAAGCGCCACGCCTGCCACATAAGTGAAGGTTGATGGGTCTGGCGGGCGCGGCGGCTGTTTGCGTGGCAGGCGTGGCACTTCGCGACAGCGGCCTTCACTTTGCGTGGCACACTTGGCGCTTGGCGACATGGACCTTCACTTTGTGTGGCAGGCCTGGCACTTACGGGAGTGGGGCAGGCGTGGCGCTTGGTGACAGCGACCTTCACTTTGCATGGCGGGCGTGGCACTTGGCGACGGCGACCTTCACTTTGCGCGGCAGGCGTGGCACTTACGGGACTGGGGTGGCTCTGGTGGCGTGGCACTTGGCGACATGGACCTTCACTTTGTGTGGCAGGCGTGGCACTTACGGCACTGGGGTGGCTCTGGTGGCGCACTTGGGTCTGGCGGGCATCGTGGCTGTTTGCGTGGCAGGCGTGGTGCTTGGTGACAGCGACCTTCATTTTGCGTGGCAGGCATGGCGCTTGGTGACATCGACCTTCACTTGGCGTGGCAGGCCTGGCACTTACGGCACTCGGCTGGCTCTGGTGGCGGGCTTGGGTCTGGCGTGCGTTGCGGCTGTTTGCGTGGCAGGCGTGGCGCTTGGTGACAGCGACCTTCGCACTTGGCGACAGCGACCTTCACTTTGCGTGGCAAGCGTGGCACTTACGACACTGGGGTGGCTCTGGTGGCGCGCTTGGGTCTGGCGGGCGCCGTGGCTGTTTGCGTGGCAGGCGTGGCGCTTGGTGCCAGCGACCTTCGCTTTGCGCGGCAGGCGTGGCACTTGGCGAACCCCCGTGCCTTCCGTATGTATACACCCGCCCTGGTCATACATTTCCATCAAATGTATGAAAGGTAGGGGGGGGCAGGTGGTCAAGCCCGGCAACGGAAAAGAGGTGTCAAGAAGGTTTATACATTATTACTATTTTTGATTGAATGAGACATGGGGGGGACCTGCCTTGCACCAGCACAAAACAATATTTAGGAAACCCAAACATGTATTCCTCTGGGGGGTGAGCTGCTACTATGAACTATCAATTCATTGCAAGTTAAGAATCTTCAAATGTATGAAGCATAGGGGGGACCACGTTCATTTACTGCAGTAATCTGGATGAGATGAGACAATATCAAATGTATAAAATATAGGGGGGGCTAGGTGGTTTCTGAAAAACATTGGAAATGTATGAAAGTAAGGGGGGACCATGTTGTTTCAACATCAAAAACTGCCGATGCCCTTCGATTGATTTCCACAGCTTCTTTCGATATCTGGCCACAGAATCAATGAGCCCAAAGCAATTTTTAGTCGTTCTCTTTGCCAAGGCTGCAATCTCACGAAATTTCAAGGCTTTGAAAACAGGACGGCTGCGCATTTTTTTCACGATGCTAAGAAGGCCTTTGAAGTTTATTGCGTTTCATTTTTCGGAGCAAAGATGCAAAGCCATTTGGAAGCAACAAGAAATATTTGAACATTGAAACTTCCCCTCTGTTCTGAACATGTCTCCAAATCTCATCAATGCTTAATGTATTGTATGAAAGGGGGGGTAGCTGCACATCAGTGCAGCTATGCATTTCAGGTACTGGGGGCAGGGCACATCCAGGAGAATCCAGGACGGTTCGTATAGGGTCGTATAGGTTCCAGGTGGTTCCAATATGTTCCAATGTCTAGTAGTAGGGAGAATGCCAACGCATGCCAACACACCCCACAAATCCCCAGAGCATGTGAATGTATTGTATGAAAGGGGGGGTAGCTGCACATCAGTGCAGCTATGCATTTCAGGTACTGGGGGCGAGGCACATCCAGGAGAATCCAGGACGGTTCGTATAGGGTCGTATAGGTTCCAGGTGGTTCCAATATGTTCCAATGTCTAGTAGTAGGGAGAATGCCAACGCATGCCAACACACCCCACAAATCCCCAGAGCATGTGAATGTATTGTATGAAAGGGGGGGTAGCTGCACATCAGTGCAGCTATGCATTTCAAGTACTGGGGGCAAGCAAGGCACATCCAGGAGAATCCACGACGGTTCGTATAGGGTCGTATACTGGGTAGGGCTTAGGCAATTTAATTTAATTCCGTGCTTTTTTTTAAAAAAAAATCCTTCTCTTTTGGGGGGATGATGGCATCCTACTATCGCAAAAGGAGCCTTCTTTTCAAACGGCATTCTGACTGACACTCGGCTCACACGACGACATAAATATAATAATTATACAGGAGCCATCTGCCTATTTGCATCACCCGCATCCTGACTCTGACTGACGCTAGGCTACACTTCTTACACGACATAAATATAGTAATAAGGAGCCAGCTGCCTATTTTAAGTTTGCATCATCCCTGCCATTGCTGCTAATCATGGCATCATACCCAGGCTCGACATCTAAGACATCCTGGACAACGGGCACATTCGTTTCACCCTCAAAGCCAACAAAAATTGCCTGGTGGGTCAGTATCCATTTTCTTCGCTCCTGCTTTTTGTCAAGCATGGGCTGTATCCTATGGCGACATTTCCAGGACCACTGAAGCCACTTCCGAAATCACCAATTGCTTCAGCATTCAATGATAGGCCCTGCTCCCGCAAAGCTTGCGGGCACTTCAAGTAATTTCTGAGGCCTGTCTGTTCCAAAGCGGGGCTGCTACTAGAGCCTCTTGATAAGCCTCGGCAATGGCAGCGTCAGATGCAGTCATTGGCAGCGGCTGCTCAGCAATCGGCACTGCACTCGGCGGCGCCTTCGGCGCAGGGGCACCAGCAACAAGAACTTCAACATTTGGTGCCTCAGTGGCACCGTGGGCGGCATCAGCTTGCTGCTCATCGGCGGCAGGCACCGCAGCTGTCACTGGCAGCGGCATGGCTGCGGCAGCGTGGTTATCACTAGCGAGTTCTGAATCTGGCCTGCTGAGTTTGAAACTGAAAAATATTTGACGACGCCGCATTTCTGACCGCTAGTCTTGAAACGAAGACGAGCCGGCAGTAATATAATATTATCAGTTTATAGGAGCCAAACAAACATATTGGCATCCTGGCCTGTTACAGATGACGATGATCAAAGGAGTCAAGCATGGCATCCCGAAAATGTCAGTCAATCAATGAATCAATGCACTGCACCTATCATGCAATGCGCAGAAGGAGCCAGACATAATGGCATCCTTGAAAGTTATAAAGCTGATTCGGGCGAGCCACTGCAGTAGCGGAGCCGTGATTGAATTTGAGCCGTGATACTCTGCATCATGCATCGGCGGTCAATGGTCAATATTGCCGTTGGAAAAGAATAATAATTTAACCAGAAGGAGGAGCCACCGACTGGCTTCCTGGAACTAAAACTTGGACTAGGAGCCGCGGTCAGTGACTGGCATCCTGGCTGACAAGCAGCAGATGTTAATTTAACGAATATTGATTGATCTTGCTGTCCAGGGTTAAGCTTTGCACCCAGGGTTTTAGTATACATGTCACCATGTAAATCTATTTAATTCATTTAATTCATACACTTAATTTAATGAATTAAATGGAACATCTATTGAATTCATTTAATTCATTTAATTAACTTAATGAATTAAATGGAAAATATGTTTAATTCATTTAGTTAATTTAATGAATTAAATAAATTAAATGGAAAATATATTTAACTGATTGAACTCATTTAATTAGTTTAATGAATAAAATGGAAATCCCATGTAATTGATTTATTTCCTTTAGTTAGTTTAATGAATCTAGCTATTTTCCATTGAATGAAAGCCAGAAAGGGAACAATCACATAGACCCTATTATTCCCTCGTACCCCCCTCTCTCCATACACTTTAAGGGGTGGGGGATCTTGGCGACATGGACCTTCACTTTGCGTGGCAGGCGTGGCACTTACGGCACTGGGCTTGTCTGTTGAACATGTTTCGATTTGTCTGCTGAAGCTGCCATTGATACCGATTGCCGCGCCGGAAACTCTTGCTTTGCCAGTTGCCAGCTCACCAACGAGTCATGAGTCAATGCATCGTTTAGTTGTCCATGCGTGTTGTTGCTGTCTGACTTGCCTGACCTGCCAGGTGCCTCTGCGAAGCTCGTTCACCAAGCGCCTGCAGCAGACCGTCCGCTCTCATGACGGTCTGCGCGCACTGCTTGGCCACATTGCACGTGCTGCCAAGACCGGCCACTGCCATTCACCTATCATGGTGTTGGCATGCCGGTTTTTGGCTACATACATACATACGTACGTACATGCATACATACATAAATACATACATACATAACATAACATAACATAACATAACATAACATAACATAACAGGACAGGACAGGACAGGACAGGACATACATACATACATACATACATACATACATACATACATACATTACATTACATTACATTACATACATACATACATTACATACATACATACATACATACATACATACATAAATACATACATACATACATACATACATACATACATACATACATACATACCATCTTTGTCACACACCGTCTTTCTTTGTCACACAACATCTTTCACATACAACTTTTTTTACTACTCGATCCTTCACCACCTCCTTTGTCTTTCCTTCCTTCCCCGTCCCGCTTCAACACTTGTTGCTCATTATTGGAAGAAGTTGACATGTGGGGTTATCCGGTCCTTTAATACTGTCAGTAGGCCAAGTGCCAGACACAATGCTATACAAACACAAAGTATGTAAAGAAACTGACAGCAAAAACCATGGATATGTAACAGCTGATTGATTCAGTCAGTGTCCTCGATATGTACAAGTGGGCGAACCGCTTCATCATCGAATGGCCTCAGTCGGGCGATGAAGATGAGTTGATACAGGTAGCATTCGGCTTGCACGCCAAGCTACCCGAGGCTGATGGTTTCTCTTGTGCCCAAACGGAGTGAAACAACCTGGCGAACCGGCGCTTTATGGTTTTTCCGTCCCCGGGAAATATGACTCCACAAAAACGGCCAGCCTCCTTTTGTAGATCTATCTCGTTTCTGTAGAAACCTGTTCAAACATGGCATGACAAGGCGATATCTACAATTAACTAATGAACATTTTTGCCGAAATTGTCTTTATGACTCGCTCATGGCCTATGAACCTCGAGAACAGGCTTCCAACAGTGCCCTCCGCAGAATGACCTGCCCACTGCTTTCTGCATTCGGCTTCTGCGCAATTGCGGCACTGCAACATGTGATCTGGCAGAAATTTGTCCGGATGAGACGGCTCAGATACTTGAGTCATTTTGAAACACAAAGTCTGCTGATCATTTCCACCCTGGCCTGTTCCATTTGTTTGCACCTCAGCTTTGATTTGCTCGGGAAGAAGAACCATGTTTCATAAGTCCTATCTAAAAACGGTGCTTCAGTGCCTCCAGAATAGATTTGCAATTTGGGCCAGTTATTTATTCAGTGCCTGGCAACATAGTCGTTTCCAATTTTCCTGACGCATTTTTAAAGCCGAAACCTCCCAGGTGTACTGCTGCAAATCACGCATGCGTGATCATGCGTGCAATGAAGCACGCACTATGCGTGTCCCCCAGCAGCATACTACGCGCCCACGCAGGCACACGTGCAGCAGCAGTAGCAGCAGCAGTAGCAGCAGAAGTAGCAGCAGCAGGCTTGACATAAAACTATCGCTCTCTAACGTTTCAGGAAGGAACCTTTTGTCTCTCAGAGAAGGCTTCATTGTCCGGCTTGACATGAACCGATCATTCTAAACACGTCTCAGCAGGAAAACTGGTGTCTGTCTAGCAGAAAGTTTCAGTATTGAGCTTGACATGAGCCGATCAATTTTTCAGGAGCTTAGAAAGAAACCTGTTGTCCCCACACCTACGCTCATCTACACTCACGTGGACGGGCGACAGAAGATACACCTGTGCAATTCTATTCAATTTGCATCAAGCATGTTCAAGCTGCTGTGCCAATCAAGCATCATCCCGCTTATGGGCGGCAGTAGCTTTTCCTTTGCCTGTGACGGATTCTTGGGCTCGGCAAAAATGGAAAGAAAAGCGGGAATAAACAAGGAGCATCGTGGAGCCACATGGCTTCAATTCGGCTGAATGTAGTCATCTATCTCTTCAAGCCTGGAGGAAAAAGATGGCCAAAAGGGTCCATCCATATGGAGGCAGGTGTCCTCGCGCAACATGGCACCTTGGGCGCAGCAAAGCTGGTCTGGGCATCTGCTTGCACTTCCATTGTGTATGATGTCTGGGGTGTATGTTTTCAAGTGTGTGTGTGTGGAACATCTGAAAAGATGTAAAACTTCTACCTTGATTGACGGAATTGCTTTTTCTTATCAAGTTCTTTGCCATTACAATGAACCAGTTTTGAGTATTTTACCAGGCGTTTAACCAATCTCCTTTTCAATTGCAGGGGGCGTGACGGTTGATTTCCTAGTCACGCCAACGAAGCTATGGAAATCAACTGGATGGAAGTTTGGACGCAAACTTCTGCACCTGCAGTGTCGCTCCTGGGCGCATTCAAGTCGCAGCTGGGGGACACGTCATACTGTGTTTTCTGTTGTTGTTTAACTGCACTGTCAAGTGCCAACCAAACTTCAACCTGAGGTTTCTCACTTCTGATCATTCAATGGCCCCTGTCAGGCTTAATTGGAGTGTTTTTGCACGTAAGATGCATTCCACATCAGAATTCGCAAAGATGTTTCTGAGCAAGTGTGTGATTCATGCTGGATTCGTCAAGGTGGCATGAACCCCTCGGGGAAAGCCTTTCCAGGCTAAAAATTGACACGTTGAAACGACCTCTGAATTGACACTTTTGAATTAGTAATTCGTCTAAGTATCGTGAAACAGCTGGCCATTTTTCGGTTTTCACCCTGTCGACTGTCGTTTGGTTGAACAGCATGCCGCTGTGCCTGGCTTCACCCTTTCTTTTGTCTGAATTTACACTTTTGAATTAGTAATTCGTTTAAGTAAAGTGAACAGCTGGCCATTTTTCGGTTTTCACCCTGTCGAATGTCGTTTGGTTGAACAACGTGCCGCTGTGCCTGGCTTCACCTTTTCTTTCATGAAAAATCAGGCAACAGGACATGCTTTAGGTGTGGTTTTTTTTCTTTTTATGGTCGTTGGTGAGGTTCAATTGTGCACGTAATTCAGGGGTTGACAACTTAAGCCGTTTACAGGGTTGTGACATGAAAGCCGAGGGCCTTTGAGCCTTATCACGAAAAATGCACGTAATGAGGATGCATCTTATTTCATCAACTAGTTCCCCATTGGTCCCCTATCTCATGCGCGCTTCCCTCTCTAGGTCAGGTTTGGGTCCTTCGCGTTCCTAGGTAGGCTTTGGCTCTCGCCTTGTAGGTTGTGTCAGGCGCTTCTGTCCGCCCCCCCCCCTCCTCTGGTTGGTTTTTTGGCCCGTCGTCCGTCCGCTTTTTCTTTTTCCTTGCCCTTTCAGGGTTTGCCCGTTTCGGGCCAGGTGTGTTGGTGTTGGTGTTCTCTGTTTTTCCTTTTCCTTTTTGTGTTCCCCCTCTTGTGTTCCGGTTAAGTAATTGTCATCTCATTTTCATCGTCATCTCATTTTCATCTTTCCTTCATCTTCACCTTCATCTCATTCGTCGGGGCCTTAAAAAAGCCTCGCGGCAGCGGGGCGTGTGTGTGGAACATCTGAAGAGATGTAAAACTTCTACCTTGATTGACGGAATTGCTTTTTCTTATCAGGTTCTTTGCCATTACAATGAACCAGTTTTGAGTATTTTACCAGGCGTTTAACCAATCTCCTTTTCAATTGCAGGGGGCGTGACGGTTGATTTCCTAGTCACGCCAACGAAGCTATGGAAATCAACTGGACGGAAGTTTGGACGCAAACTTCTGTACCTGCAGTGTCGCTCCTGGGCGCATTCAAGTCGCAGCTGGGGGACACGTCATACTGTGTTTTCTGTTGTTGTTTAACTGCACTGTCAAGTGCCAACCAAACTTCAACCTGAGGTTTCTCACTTCTGATCATCCAATGGCTCCTGTCAGGCTTAATTGGAGTGTTTTTGCACGTAAGATGCATTCCACATCAGAATTCGCAAAGATGTTTCTGAGCAAGTGTGTGATTCATGCTGGATTCGTCAAGGTGGCATGAACCCCTCGGGGAAAGCCTTTCCAGGCTAAAAATTGACACGTTGAAACGACCTCTGAATTGACACTTTTGAATTAGTAATTCGTCTAAGTATCGTGAAACAGCTGGCCATTTTTCGGTTTTCACCCTGTCGACTGTCGTTTGGTTGAACAGCATGCCGCTGTGCCTGGCTTCACCCTTTCTTTTGTCTGAATTTACACTTTTGAATTAGTAATTCGTTTAAGTAAAGTGAACAGCTGGCCATTTTTCGGTTTTCACCCTGTCGAATGTCGTTTGGTTGAACAACGTGCCGCTGTGCCTGGCTTCACCTTTTCTTTCATGAAAAATCAGGCAATAGGACATGCTTTAGGTGTGGTCTTTCTTTCTTTTTATGGCCGTTGGTGAGGTTCAATTGTGCACGTAATTCAGGGGTTGACGACGTAAGCCGTTTACAGGGTGTGAAATGAAAGCCGAGGGCCTTTGAGCCTTATCGCGAAAAATGCACGTAATGTGGATGCATCTTATTTCATCAACTAGTTCCCCATTGGTCCCCTATCTCATGCGCGCTTTCCTCTCTAGGTCAGGTTTGGGTCCTTCGCGTTCCTAGGTAGGCTTTGGCTCTCGCCTTGTAGGTTGTGTCAGGCGCTTCTGTCCGCCCCCCCCTCCTCTGGTTGGTTTTTTGGCCCGTCGTCCGTCCGCTTTTTCTTTTTTCCTTGCCCTTTCAGGGTTTGCCCGTTTCGGGCCAGGTGTGTTGGTGTTGGTGTTCTCTCTCTTTTTCCTTTTCCTTTTTGCGTTCCCCCTCTTGTGTTCCGGTTAAGTAATTGTCATCTCATTTTCATCGTCATCTCATTTTCATCTTTCCTTCATCTTCACCTTCATCTCATTCGTTGGGGCCTTAAAAAGCCTCGCGGCAGCGGGGCGTGTGTGTGGAACATCTGAAGAGATGTAAAACTTCTACCTTGATTGACGGAATTGCTTTTTCTTATCAGGTTCTTTGCCATTACAATGAACCAGTTTTGAATATTTTACCAGGCGTTTATCCAATCTCCTTTTCAATTGCAGGGGGCGTGACGGTTGATTTCCTAGTCACGCCAACGAAGCTATGGAAATCAACTGGACGGAAGTTTGGACGCAAACTTCTGTACCTGCAGTGTCGCTCCTGGGCGCATTCAAGTCGCAGCTGGGGGACACGTCATACTGTGTTTTCTGTTGTTGTTTAACTGCACTGTCAAGTGTCAACCAAACTTCAACCTGAGGCTTCTCACTTCTGATCATCCAATGGCTCCTGTCAGGCTTAATCGGAGTGTTTTTGCACGTAAGATGCATTCCACATCAGAATTCGCAAAGATGTTTCTGAGCAAGTGTGTGTGTGTGTATGTGCACGTGTATCCGCATATGTGTATGTCTTCCAGCGGGGTGCCCCTGCTCAAGGGTATAAAATCTGAGAGACATACACCCCGCGATCTTTTGACCATCGCCTGGAAGACTTCTATTCCAAATTCGAAGATACGAAGGGTTGACTCGACATTTATGTCCTTGCCTCACTAGCAATATCAGCCCTCGAGATCGGGGATCAATCCTGACCCCAAGTGACTCTGTGAGTCTATGGAGATGAATTTCAGCTGAATCAGCTCTTGATTGTGTCTGTTACCCTGGGGCAGAGGCTCTCCACAAGCAGTCACGAGTGCCGCGTGGCAACCAGGGGTGGCCTGGTAGCAAGCGCGGCTGCTTTCGTTGCAGCCACCTGATGTGCCAGATTGTGCCAGGCTCCCGGCACAATTGACGGAGAAGTCAACTGGGATTCCTTGACCAGAGACCTTGGCCAAAAGGGGAATTGGGATCCTGCAGCTACACCAATCAATGGCACAGAGCCTTGTCTTTGACACTGTCTAGTACAGTACTCCATGCTGCGGCGAATAATGTGAGCAAAGCAGTACCTTAAGCACAGCACGCTCATTGTGGATGGTCCCATCAGAGTGACCTGCTTGAACCAAAGTATTGAATAGAGCCTAGTCTTGGGAATGAGTTATTGACGCAAGGTGTGATTGCACAATTTTGTTGGACGATGCCTTGGGTTCTTCACAACGGAATGCAGATCTGCGAAACTTGAAGCCTCCGGCCTTCGAATCGGGAATACCCGCGACGTGCAAATGCGAGAGACACTCAATCTACCGAGGCGGGGGCAGCGACTAAAAGGTCAGTGCCTGGCTTGGTGGAAGTACAGCATGAAACTCTGTATGTACCCTCAGCAAGGGAATGTCACGAATCTCAAATCTTCACCCAAAGAACGTACTTAGAAGACGGTCTTGAGCGACCAACCCGATGAGGACAGCTCGCTCTGAATCCATGCTACAATACTAGGGTTGCAGCAGGCACGAATAGCTGACTTCTGCATTTTGCGAGCATCCATACCTGGGAATTTCTGGAAAATGGAAAACCGTTCCAAAAATGCACTCATGGAGCTGCGTGCTGCGCATTATGCAGTTCGAGGTAACGAGGCGCTGGATGCAGTTTTGAAAGTTTGAAATGTGCACTAGCAGCAAGCACTACTAGCAGGAAGCACTGAGGGTTATGCGCGCTTTTGGAATGCCGCCTTTCGAGAGGCGGCCTGAAAGGACCGTTCAAGTCTCGCAGCCTTGTTCTAAGACGCCCTACTTTGAACTTTGAGAGCCCTTCGCCTTGAAGTTGCTGTTCCAAGCAATCAGGGTCTGCTGAAACTACCAAATCTATCTCCGGAACCTTGATGGCGCGGGCAACTTGATATGAAGCCGTGTTCAGTTGCTAAACTTT